TACATACAGTATAAATGTGTTTTGTATATAACATGTTATCTGTCATATAATATATAGTTATTAAAATACTAATTATATGTCATGTAGTTATTAAGACCATATATAGTTATTAAAATTATTCCTTCAGTATAGAAATATAACTGCATGATGATTTTAGCTCACAAGTGGTAATTTGAGAGAACAGATGATATAAGATGCTATTTCAACAACTGGGGGATTTGAATGTGGGCTGTGATAATGGCATTGTGGTTGCATGGGAGAACATCCTTGTCTGTAGAAGATGCTGAGGCGTTTTAGTAGGGAAGTTTCTGGATGTCTGTAACTAATTCTCAAATGGTTGGGGGGGGCGGGGAAAGTCCACCCATGGAACGAGAAAGCAAATGTGGAAATGTTAGCAATTAGCAAATCTGGGCAAAAAGTGGATTGGTGTTTATTGACTATTTTTGCAACTTTATATAGATTTTAAAAAAAAATTTTAAACGTGTTGGAGGAAAAGGATATTTCTTGTTACGATCGCTTAAAATTTTACAACTAAAACCAAAATGCCTATCTTTACTGCAAGAAGGGAGTTAATATGTAGTCACCACTGATGCATACCAAAATCAAATAATCTGTAATAAAATCAAGAATAACATATACAAGACAGCAAAGGTGCATGGAATGAGAAATGCTCAAGGTCGGCAGAAAGCTTTTAAGGAACTCTATAAGATTTCACATTTGTTCTCCAAGGTAAATAAGTCCCTAGAATTTTAGAACTAGAAAGCATCAGAGAGAAATATAGTCCAATAGTTCAATCCTCAATTTGTATATAATATAATGAAGGGTCAGAGAAAATTATACAAGTGTGGAAGTGAACAGTATTTAAAAGCTGTAAGTGCTTTTAAAGTGGATCTGGAACCCCTTCTTGTGAGTTATAATTGGTATTAGATCAATGTCCCCTGGAAATGTCCCAGTTCTTTCATGGAACTCTTTCCAATAGAAATAAATTTAGTCTCTAATTTTAAATCCTGGCAGTTTCAAGCGTGAAGTATTCTCAATTGAATTAAAGCAAGTCGAGTGTTTTCACAAGTTTTTAGAATGATCAACAAAATCTATTTGGTAAGAAAGAGAGTGATAAGAAATAAAAGGCAGATGTGGAAACAACAAATAATAAAAAAAAGTTGAAAAATGACCATGCTGCTTGGTAGTCTTGCTTTGCCGAATAAAATTATAAATTACTGTGCATCTTCTCCCCACTTCTTAAACCCCAAAAGCATCAGAGCAGGTGAACGCCATACAAAACCACCTGGGCTAACTTCTTGTTTATCCTGGAATCTAGCTTCTGCTTTTTGCTTTCTGGGCTTCATTCAGGAACGGTTTAGAGGTTGTTTTTGTGAAAAGGTCTTGCTTGTCTGTTCGTTGTTGTTTGTGAGTACCCGATTTGGCATGGCAGCCTGATTTCTTCAGGATCAGGTTATCCTTTGAAATAAGCTGGCTTTTGTCCAATTCATTTAGACCAGGGGTTATTTTTGGAACGGGGGTTATTTTTACTGAAATTAGTCAGCTTTTGGTTGAGTAATAAACCAGACTGTCTCATTGAAAAAGCGCCTGTCAGTCTACATACATGTAACCAGGCTCTCAGAGATGGTCATTTCCTAGAATTGGCTTTTTAAGCCTTCGGCCTGATCCTTCTGTGATCAGACTGTTCTAGAGTGAGGCTGGCTGCTTTCGATCTTGCAGATTGCTTGAAATGTTGTAGGTTACTCTGGGCCCCTTACTCTAGAGAAGTCTCTGAAAAAATGGGATCTTAGTTATTTAATATGTTAAGACCATCCGTCCTCCAGGGACTCTGGCACTTTTCACGCACATATTTAACTAAATAGACAGATGTGACCAAAAGAAATTAATAAAATCAGTGGCCACTGTGGGGGACTTTTGAGGTTCTCAAATTCATTTTCTTAAAACCAAATTGGACAATAAAATTGGCGAAGCTGAACGGAATGCCCATTTTGAATGCAATCTTGAGGCTTCCAAATGGGACCAAGATTCTGAAGTTGCCTCTTTGCAAAATAAAGATTTAGAATTAACAGAGGTTACTGAACTTTTAAAGAGAGAAAAAGCGGCTTCCCACATGTCCTTCCCCTCTACTCCATTGTCTCGGGAATTCTAGGAATACTTTGCCTCAGCTTTCTCCAGCATCCTCAAGCTCTTTTTCTCCAATTCCTTTGTTTCAAGATTCACCTCTGATGCCATCTTGCCTTCCACTACCGGCTTCCTTACCTCATTCACCTCTGGTGTCATCTTCCCTGGAATTTTTTCCCATTCCTTCCTCCCCTGCACTTATCAGTACTTTTCAATTTAAAGTTAAGCCCTCTGGGGACCCTAACAGATCTCAAGTTTCATACATTCCCTGGACTAAAACTGAGCGGGGAATTCCTTAAGGGAACTGAAGATTCTCACAAGTTTGCTGAGGAATTTGATATCGTTATTCAGACCTACCGGCCTGGGTTTTCTAATTTATATCAGCTACTTCCTGCGTCGGTTGGTGAAGGCCAGGCTCGATATTGGATGAGAATTGCCCAATGGGAACATCCTGAAAGGGATTTAGAAAAACAAGCCTCTAATTCTGGGAGAAGAAACTACAGAACCTGCTAGAGAACTATACCGAGCAATTAATTCCTAAGGACTTTCCCAAAGCCTGTTGGTTGGAGCAAAATGCAGATTTGCTCACAAAAGTCTGATGGAATCTGTTCATGATGGTTGTAATAGACTTCAGGTCGTTTTTAAGTTAAAATTCTGATCTTCCTTCAGAATGTTGATGCCACTTGGATGACTTTTAATTCTTTGTTAATGGGTTAAACACAGACCTTTCCCTCCTAGTTAAGAGAACCAGGATGGAATGGGAGACCACGTCCAGCCTAGATGTGGTTAATTTGGTCAATCAGCTCGCCCGTACTGTAGATGAGCCACCTTGAAGTAAGACTGCCAAGACTTTTGATTTTCAGCATTGGCAAATAAAAGCCCCAAGACGAAACCAAAAGACTCCAAGTTTCTGCCACTTTCCCAAAGAGCCGGGACATTGGAAAAGGGAATGTCACAAGTTTAGGGCTTCAGGTGTTGTCAGCCTCGTAATCGGCCGTCTAACCAGCCTTCCCAAGGTCCTCCTCACTCCGGCCATGGGTCTCCGAGGGATCGTGGGGCTTTTTTCCAACCCTCCCTCTTAATCGGCTTGGAGAAACTTTTCTTCCAATCAGTAATGAATCTCTCTCTTATGACAAAACCTCCTTATGTTTTACTAAAGAATGACAGTCCTGACCCAATTCCATGGGAAGAATGGGACGAGATGGTCTTTCAAATCTTAAAGGAGAGTTTAAGGAACTCACCTGCCCTTGGACAATCCGAAGAACAGATCCCCTTTTTCCTTTTTGTATGTGGAAAGGGAATGTTTTTGGGGTGCTCACCCTAAATCAACTGAACCTGGTGACTCGGGGATACCCCTCTTGCCTTAGAGCCACTGCTGCCACTGCCCTCTTGGTTAAGGCCACAGAGGAAATTGGTGTGGGATCCCCTCTAACCATCGTACCCCATGCACTAGAAGCTCTCCTGAATTCTCACCACACCTAGCGCCTTTCAGTCAGTCGCCTTACTTCCCATGAAATTTTTTTGTGAACTGCTCCTCACATGACTCTTTCTCATTGTGATAACCTTCATCCAGTTACTCTTGTCCCTTCTGAGACCGACAAAGTCCCATCATGACTGCTTGGCACTGACGGATCACCTCCTGACCCCTTATCATGATCTGCAGGTGACTCCTCTGGGTAAAGATGATTTCCACGGTTCATAGATTTTAAAAATGAAAATGGAAAGTACTACGCTGGTCACACAATTACAACCCCTTCTGAAGTCCTTGAGGCATTTTTACCTTTGACTACTTTAGCACAGCAGGCTGAATTATACGCTTTCACTCAGGCTTGTATTTTAGCCAAGGGCAAAACCGCCAGCATTTACACAGTGATATGCTTTTCAAGTAGCTCAAGACTTTGGAATGTTGTGGAAACAATGTAGCTTCCTTACTTCCAGTGGAAATAAAATATAAAATGTTCAGAAATTATTGGGTGCTATACTTTTACCTGCTGCGTTAGCTAATAGTAAGATCCCAGAGCATGCTAAACTTGAGTCCCTAGAAGCTACGGAAAATCACCTTAAAGCAAGCAGCAGCACTCAGACCTCCGCATTAGTCTAAAAGAATATTTCTCCAGCTGATAATTTCGAGAAGCCAGAGAAGCCCAACAATTGGCTTCAGAATAAGAAAAACAAGATAGGAAATCTAACAATTGCTGGTTTGATAAAAGAGAAAGCTCTGGTTTGAACCAAGTAACAATCCAGTGCTACTGGAGACCGTGAAGTTCCCACTCTCAACAACTGTATATACATTACACTATTTGGTCCACTGATAAAGTGATAGCATTTATGAATCAATATTGGTGGGGAAATATTAATAGGGCTGCAAAAAGTGCCTACCTTCCTTGTCCTATCTGTCCAAAGTACAACTCGGGGAAGCCTGTCTGCACGGTCCCTGGACATTTTAAATGGCCTCACAGACCATCTGAGGTTTGGCAACTGCATTTCACGCAGCTTCCCCCGCCTCGTGGATAGAAATATGTTTTAGTCACATCTGTATGTTTTCTCACCAGGCTGAAGCCTTCTCCTGTAGACAGGCTACTGCGTTTTAGCGGCTAATGGCCTGGTAGAAAAGATTATCCCACCTGGAGAACTTCTCGTGAACTCCACAGTGATTAAGGTACCCATTCCACTGGTCAGGTGCTTCAACAGGTCTGTACTGGTTGGCCAGTTTTACGACACCCTTAATTATGAGGTTCATGCAGTCTTAAGGTTAGATTTCAAAAACCATTAATAATTACCTTTAAATGGCAAATGAAAGGAAAATTGCAACATCAGGGTGGTGTGTCTGTCTGTACAGACTATAAAAGTCGTATGATCCTGCTCAGCCCTCCACACTCCTGTCTGATTCTTCCAGCTGCCTCGCTGTTCAGCAACCAGGTAAGTGTGCTTTCACTACTACCTGAAGCTCCCTCTGCTTCCTTTCAGAATGGTGTGAAAGCTAATGGTCTGGAGAGAAAATGAGTTTGTGACATCTACAGGTATTCCCAGTAATTTAGAGGCTAGAAGCTGTGGTCAGGTTCCGTAAGACCGCAGCCTACAGAATACAGACCAGGTACATTAAAAGTGAAGAATGTCATTATTACTAATTTAAACGTTTGGCTCCAGGGAATATATCCTAACAGATGTACTCTAAGAACAGATATTTAACATACTGTCTAAGGTGATTATTTTTAAAACACACTGGTAGTCACTGGTGCTGTTCCCACATTTCCCACTCCCTCTCTTCTCCTCCACTTTTCCTTCTTCCCCCTTGCCCCGCCTTTTCTTTACTGTCCCCACCTATGCCAAGGAAACAGCCCAACGGCACCAAACTCCTGCTGGCAATCGTCGTATAAAACTCTACTTCAGCTTTTTGGCAAGCTTATTTCTTTCCCAATTTACAGGACACCAAAATGAGTGAAAAAATGTCTCCTAAAGAACTAAAGAGCATTTTTGAAAAATACGCAGCCAGAGAAGGTGATCCAAACCAGCTGTCAAAGGAGGAGCTGATGCTACTGGTTCAGAATGAATTCCCCAGTTTACTGAAAGTGAGTGACAACTGCAGAGCCGACCTGGCCTCTGACGCTGGGAAGGGAGGGGAGTGGAGAGGAAAGGTCACGGGAAGAGGCTGAGGTCCATGATACTGGTCAGCGCTCCATCTGGGGCAGATCTCACAGCAGCCAAGGTACAGGTAGGTGTCCCTTGAGGGAGGGCTTGAACATGTGGTTTCTGCCCCTGGCGGCAGGCCACATTTCAGATGGCAAGCTCCTAGAAAGCAGGGGCCAAGCCTCCTATGCCCCACAGCCTTAGCACAGGACTCTGATGAGCAGCCATAGGAAATGGAAGCAGAGATGGCACTTTTACGAAGCCAGCCCTGGAAGACCACAGGTCACCGCCACGCAAACACACTAAGGGTTTCAGCCTGGATTTGGCGTAGTGTCAGGCTTTAGGAAAACAAAGAGGCTGCTAAAGTAATATTAGTTGGCCTTGGACGTGCTTCATTGTTATTGGTAGGCTCTCTCAACAAGACCAATGCTTACTTGGCAGTCTGTTAAAAAGACTGGCTTCCTGCT